TGGTCATTTCCAAGGGCAGCTCTGTGCCCTGCGGTCAGAGCAGGGCCCAGGCCCCAGCTCCTGGCAACTGCTGTGGTTGCTATGGTTGTTTCAATAACCTGATGATTCCAGACAGAACCAAGGCTGAGCTTCGCTTGTAAATATTGATGGAGGCCTCAGACAGAGAGGGACGCGAAAACAAAGGACGTTTTATTTGTGATAGAAAAAGAAGCCAACAGGAAAAAAAACAAAAACAAAAAACCTACAGACCCAAAGGAGGGGAAACTGTTTAAATAAACCATGATACATTCACTGGATGGAATATTGTGCAACCATTGAAATGATGTTTACTGAAGGTTTGTAGTGACATGGGAAAATGCTTATTCTGCAAAGCGAAGTGAAAGAAGGAAGCAACTGAATTGTATATTCAGCATAATCACACCTTGGCAAGAATCAAGCCAAACAAAAATCATGCACAGGAAAAACAGACTGCAGGGACCTGCACCGCAGCGGGACTTTGTCTTTGGGTGGTGAATCTGGGGAGATTTTGTATACCTTTTTCTATTTTCCAATTGTTTTTTCTATAATGGCATGGTTGGCCTAATTTGGGAAGTGATCCAAGCCTAAAGGGTTTTTTTTTCCCCTAAAGAGCAAAGAACTCATTGGGAAAGCAGGACAGATGACCCGTGGAGAAGCCAGCTGACACACAGGCTACTCTGAGGCTGAGGGCTCGAGGTCAACAGACAGGGCTACTCAAAAAGGTCATGTGGAAAGGCTAGACTCTGACCCCATGGAGTGAGTTGGGCTTCCAAGGGGTCAGAATGGCCTTCCACATGCAGATGTGGTGTCCGTGTGTCATTTTGACCGTCATCCCTAAATGTGCCAACTCTGCTTCTCTCTTGAGGGGGTAGCTCACCCCCGTCTAGGAAAAGCTTTTATAAATGTTGGTGTCATGGAGTGCTCTCCCTTCCAAGAAAGGCTAAAGCAGAAGAGCTGGGCTCTTCACACATCAAGATGGGGATCCTGGGAGGCCACCCTGACTCCCCGGCTAGTGTGGCCAAGCCCTTCCCGGGCCCGGAGCCAGCCCTGGCCTCTGCATCTCCCAGACCTCCACTCAGGGCTCTGCCAGGGTCTTCTTATCAAGGAGCCGGATCACGCAATCCCACTTCCCTGCCTCCTCTTTCTTTGTGCCCCATACGCAGTTTGGGTTCTCTTTGTTTGTTTACATATTTGTTTTTTAAAATTGCCTGTTTTCTATGGTTAAGCTCCGTTAGGGCAGTGATGTGCTGAAACAGTACCTAGCTAAAACGTTCTGTAAGTGAACCCTGACCCTCACGGCCCTAGGTGTCTTCGCAGGCTCCCTGAACTACCTTGCCTTACCTCGATGGCCCTGACCCTCTGGTTACTCTCATCCTTAAATCCAGCTCTGGAGATCCAGGCCAAGAATGAGAAACACATTAGCCCGAATCTATTGGTAATGACCACCTGGGACCCTGTGTTGAAACAGTTCTGAGGCCATTAAAATGGCTCAATCAGAAAAGGTACGGCAATCGGTTAGTGATGTCTGCCATGGGACCATAGGAGGCAGATGAGGTGTGCAGCATACTTTTCATCTCAGCTCAGGCCCAAGTCTCAGCTCTCTCCCTCTCATCATAGAGATCACACCCACCATCACTGGGGCTGGAACAAACGATGCTGCCTTATCCCTTGATCCATTTCCCTAGTCCCTGCTATAGGTATGCAGTGGGCTTCCGGAAGCTTCCCCAGAGTGAGCCTTAGCTCACTGTCAGCTTGGAGCCCTCCCCTACACTCAACCCAGCTTGGCTGAGATCCTGTCCTCTGCCTGGCTCTTTATGGCAGAACTGCCCCTGGGGCTGGATCTGGCTCCCCCTGCCCCAGGTCCCAGATGGGGTTCTCTTCCCAAGCAAACTCCTTTCTCTGCCTGCATCACATCTCCCGCTCCCCCTGGGTCCCTTGGAAGTTCATGCCTGAGTCTTGGCTCTGAGCTTGAGCATGGCCTTGGTGGGGACTAGGGGTGGGGGGTGAAGGTCACTCTCCCCAGGCTTCAGCCATAGTCCCAGCTAACTTTCCTTTCCAGACCTCCAACTTAGAAATAGATTAAGCAGCCTGACCTCCCAGATCCCAGAATAGGGAAGGTGGCCTTGTGTGGTCCGAGAAAAGTGCCCTTTTCACTCGTTGTTCCAATCCTGGATCTTCCAAAAAGACCCCCAGCTCCGCCCCAGCAGCTGCAATGAACATAAGCGCCTGCCAGGACCCCTGGGAGCTTGGGCAGAGCTTTCTCCAGGTGCTCACCTTTATCCCCCAGGCAGAGAAGGACACAGATCGTCCTTCTGTTTTCAAGATGGGGAGGCTGAAGTCAGCACGCCCACCTCCCCGCCTGCCAGGCCTGCCCTGGTGCACGCACCACCCTTCTCTACCCATTTCCACATGCTGCTTGTCACTTTAGAAGTAGTCCCAGCTCCCCTGGCTTCTGGCTGGGACCAAGAGCATCACTGCTCTCCTGTCCATATGTGTGTCTCCCTTGGAGATGGAACAGGGCTGCAGTGATAGATTGGACCAGTCTATCTTCCCTCCTTCTGGGAAGGAAAGGTAACTTCCCGAGGCTGGAGGGTTTCTTCTCATTAAGAATTTACCAAACCTGATGTGAAAGGAGATCCCAGTCTTCCGATGCACTATTAGAACCTTCTAGCTCCTCAGCTCCATCATGGACCTGCCCCTCCCTGGTCCTCTCTGGTCTGACCAGGTGACCACAAGGCAAGGAAGGGCAAGTAATGTTATCACATCTCACCACCTGGAAGGGCTGGGTTGTCGTGGCTGTCCCCAGCTCCCAAAGGGAGGGCTGGGTTTCACAAAGAGCTGTATTATGAAAGGTTCTCAGATCTGGGGAGAGAATGAAGCAGTCCGATAACAATGCCCAGCAGGAGGCTGGTCCTGGGACCACATCTTTTCCTTGTTCTCCTGAGATTTAATATACAGACTCAGATGTATTCTCAGTAGACCCTACAAGATGTACCTTTACAAATGGATGCTAAAAATGGAAGTTTCTCCTCCTTCCGGCATATTAGAATTCTGGGCAATGGGAAAAAGAGAAGTGGGCTTTGGTCAATTTACTCTGCAGGCAACAGTCTCCATGGGCACCTCCAACTTTAGCTGTTCTGCTTCTCTAGCTGTCCCTCCCTCTGGATGGCCCCCTGGGGCTCCCCTGGGCTCCTTCCTGGTCCTGCCAGAAACCCCTCCCTCAGTTTTCCCCACTTGTGTGTCCAGGGTGCTTCTGGGAACGTTGGAGGTTGGGGCTCAGCAGACACTGTTTCGGAAGAGGCACCAGCAGCTTATGGAGAGCTGGTCCAGATCCAGCAGGGTCAGCCTGAGGCGGCAACTGGCCCCTGGAACTTGACTGTGATAAGGCTGTGCCCTTGAACTTTGCTGGGGTCTTGGTACCTGCCTCGCCCACTCAGATTCAGATCTGAAGCAAGGTGGTGGCCATCCCTGCAGACAAGGGGTGCCCTTGGCCCCAGAACACCAGTCTCAAGTTCCATTTTCACACTGGCTTCTGTAGCCCAATGAGGGCAAAGACTCGGCTAGGAATCCTAGCCAGTAAGCGGGACTCAAATTCCTGGACTGCTGGATCTCCCAGAAACACCCCATGGAGTGGTGAGCAGAGGGTGATTTTTGCCTCTAGTTTTGCAGAAGGAGCCCAGCAGAGGGGCTGCTAGACCCTGGTCTGGGGCACCTCAGGGCCGGGCAAGGTCAGGACGGTGGGCAGGAGGGTGCCCTGCGGGGAGGGGAAGCTCTGCGGCTCCTCGGGCACAAACCTGGGCGAGACGTAGTCGGCCAGGAAGCGGAGGGTGCGCTGGCGCCCCACACAGTAGATGAGGTCGTCCACCACGGCGCACTGGAAGGCGTCCGGGTATGGGGTCCGGTACGTGGCGCATTCGTACCAGAGGCGGGTGCTGGCGCTGCAGCGGTACACGCTGATGCCCAGGCTGCGGTTGAGGTCAAAGCGATAGAGAAAGCCCTTGACCGCCACCATCTCGGCCGTGCGGTCCTTGCCGCCCCCCGTGGGGCCGACGCGCCAGCGCTGCTCCTGGGCGGAGAAGCGGAGCAGCAGGTAGCGCAGCGAGCCGCCGGTGACGAAGATCTCTCCGCCACACGCCGTGGCTGTGTGCGCCAGGGCGAAGGTGTCGTTGGGGAGCGGCGGGGCAAAGGTCCAGCGGTCCAGGCGGGGCTCATAGCGCTCCACTGTGTTCAGACACTCGCCCCCGATGGCGTACAGGTGCCCGTCCAGGGCCACCAGCCGGCAGTGCGGCCGGGCCTGGTTCAGCGGGCACACCTCGCTCCAGATCCCCGTCAGCGGATTGTAGCAGAAGACGCGGCCGGAGGGCTGGCGCCGGGACCCCTGGCACCCGGACACCACAAAGAGATAATTGAAGAGGCTGCAGATGGCACCGCCCCGGGACACAGCCTCGGGGGGCAGGCGGGCCAGCGGGTGCCAGACATCCCGCTCACCGTCGTAGCAGCAGAGGCGGCTGCAGTCTTCCTGGGGGCACAGGTCGGCCACCACCAGGTGCTTGCGGCCCCGGAGCCGTCGCTGGAGAATCAGCTCCCTCTCTGCCCCGCTCAGGCACCCGTAGATGTCTGGGCTGCGCAGGACCTGGAGGTAGTTGTCACTCATCACCTTGTAGGCGGCCTCCTTCAGGGCCTCCAGGCTCTGCCTCTTGGCAAAAGTTAGCACCTCATAGCAATTGCCCAGATCCAGGTGGACATCTGGGGCTGAACCTGGGGTGAGCGGGAGGTGGAAGAAATTGGTCCCAGCCACAAACTGCACGTGGGGCTTCTCACTGCTTCCGGCTGAGCCGGACCCCAGAGAATCCCGGGATATGGGGCCGGTGGGCGGAGCACTCTGGTCTGGGCAGGAGGGAGCAGAGTCTCCAAAGCCATCGAGCTGCAGCTGAAGCTCTGGGTTGTCCACGATCTGAAGGAGACTCTCCTTCCTGCTGAAGCCTTGCACAGAGGGCAACAGCTCAGGCTGCGGGGAGGCAGCTGCCTCTGCCCCACCTACTCTGTCATCCACATGGCCTCCGGAGGCTGCCCCCTTTCCCAGGGGGTGTGGCACTGAAACAGGGCATGGAGTCTCAGCCAGGGCTGCCTTTCTGGGGGCCAGCCTACCCCTGGAGGTGGCCTGAGAGGTGGATTCAACATAGTAATCATACACCTTGCCCTTCAGCGGGGACCTGATCCCCTCCACCTTCTCCGGTATGAAATTCTCTACCACTCGAACCCGGGCCATGGACGAGAAGGTATAAGAGGCATCGGTGGCTCCCTCCTGCTGATGCAAGGCCAGGCCCATGTCTGAGGCAGCCTGGAGGGCCCCGGCCTCTTCCCTATGGACCCCTGTCACACGGGTAAAGACCCAGCTCTTACTCATGTCGCTCCCGTCTCCTGTGTGGGCTGCCCAGCGTTGGTGGGGGGATTCCTGCTCTCCGGCCCCTGGCTGCTTGGGGGGCCTGCTGTTCAGCCATGGAGTAGGCTCACTGCCCCCACTGTTGCCGTCCGCCGCCGTGAGGCTGATTGGGGAGCTTTTGGGTTCACTGCACAAATGGGGGTGATGGGTCAGTCTGGGCTTACCGCCAGAGGCTGTTCCGGCTTCCTGGCCACCGCGTGGAGGAGCTGTCAGGTGGGAGTCCAGGCGCGGCCCACCCTGCCCTCCGCCAGCACCTTTGTTCCCGGGCTGCCCAGTCTCCCCGGCTTCTGAGTCTTTGGAAGAGGCTCCCGTTGCCAGGACTCCGGAGCGCTCAGGATTCTCCCAGCTGCAGCTGGGCAATTCTCCAGTCCCCTCGCTTCCCCTCCTGCGTCTCAGGCCCCAGCGTGGCGCCCCAGAAACAGCCCCGTGGGTGGCAGGCTGCCCAGAGCCCTCTGCCTCCTGCTCGGCCTTGACCTTGGCGTTCCCGCCCCTCCGTGGGGCCTGGGTGGGCCTTGACTTGTACAGCCGGTAGGCCACGGTCACCAGGAGCAGGGCAGCGGCGGACAGCACCACCTTGCCAGTCAGCTGCATGTCCAGATGCCAGTCCTGGGTCTCCGCTCCTCCTCCTCTGGGGAGCATGTTCCCAAGCTGACCCAAGGCAGAGGAATGTCAAGAATCCGATTAATGATTGCCCAATAGGGACGGTTCCTGGTTCCTGCCGAGCTGAGCGGGAGGGGGGTCTGGGCTGACTCTGGCCGGCTGGCCAGCAGAAGAGTTGGAGCAAAGGTGACTTCGAGCTGGCAGAGGGTGGCCACGGGGGCCCGGGGCTGGCAGGTCTCAGGGTCTGGCCTCCTCGGATCCTTTGATACTTCCCCTGGGGAGCACAAGGCACCTGCCCTGGGGATCAAGCTTGTGATCAGCCGCCCGAGCCGGCAGCGCCGGGCGGGGGTTAGAAGTGTCTGGCAGGTACATGATGAGGAAGGAAGCTCTTGACCAAACAGTCACCCGATGCCAGGAAACACACGGGGCTGGTTATTATTTGTGTGTGTTCGGTGTTTCTCTTTTGCAAATGCGCTGGGCAGGGAGGGTTGGGTGTGGTGAGTTGTGGGGCAGGTGGAGCCGTGGCAGGTGTGGCATGAGATCCTCCTGGGTCTTTTCCTTCCTGTTAAGGTCATGTGGTCCCCATGGTGGGGTTCAGAGTTAGCAGCAGGGGAGGCTGAGCTGGGGACTACGGCCAAGCCACCTGACCAGGCTCTTGAACACCTCTGCCCTCCTTCCCTGCCCGACCAGTTGACCATGAGAACCAGCCTTCCTGCGAGGAGTTGGGGAAAACACATGGCATTAGTACCCAGATCGGGGACAGACTCGGGGCACATCTTCACCCTCCAAACCAGATAATCTCACACGGTGAGAGGCCTGGGGAGACTCACCCACCCCCTCAATCTCATCCATGCCGTGGATTCCGGAGCCAGTCCGTCTGGCTCTGCCACTTACCAGCTGTGTAACCTTAGGCAAGAAACTTCACCTCTCTGTGCCTCAGTTTCTTTGCTTGAAAAATGAGGTAACAGCATATGCACCTCCTAAGGTCATGGTGAGAACAAGATGGGCTAATGTGTGGGAAGGCCAGGGGGCGGAGCTCCACCTCGTGAAAGCTTAGTAAATGTCAGCCACTCTTCTTCCTCTCCTCTTTCTCTCTCTCTTCGTCAGTGTTATTGTCACTCACATCAATCATCATCAGCGGGATCTTCTGAACCCCAGGTGTAACTGTCCCTCCCCAGACTGAAGTCCTCTCGGAGTCACCAAAAGCCGGGGCAGGGGTCTCAACCTCGTGCTGCCTGTGGGGGCTGGACAGGTAAAGTCAACAAGCGAGGACCCACTGGCCGATGGCGCCAGGCAGGCGGACGCAGCACTGCTGGTCCCACTGTGTCTGAGATGCTGAGCGTCTAGGCAGTGATGCCACCACTCTTGGTTTCTAAATGCTGGCATCTAATTAAAAAGTGAGAATAAAAACCACTCTGGAGGAAACACATGTTTGGAGGAATCTGGCCTTGAAACCTTGACTTGAGAAAATCCTGACTCTTTCTGATGCTGTTCACACTCCTCCATGCTCCAGCCTCAGTTTACCTGATCTCTGCCTCGCATGCCTGGCTCTGGGCTGGGGCTCAGGCCACCTTCCCTTGTCTTTGCTGGTCCACATCCCTCCTGTCCTGCACGGTCAGGTCAAAGGCTTCTCCGTGCCTCTGTCCGTCCGGGATCATCTTTTCCTCCTTGTTCTCTTTCAGCCTCTGTCACGTGGGCCGCAGGTCAAAGTGCTCTCTGCTCTGCTGGATGCCGAGTCTCCAAGGAAGCTCAGTTTTGGGGCCTGAGCCTGTATGGGGCTGGGCAAAACTGGGACAAGAGCTGGCAGGATGGTACCTTTCCAGGGGGAGGAGGGGGCAGACAGTCCGGGTGAATCTCACCTGATGCTCACCCAAATGATCTCACCTAGGGGAAATACTGTTGTCACCCCCATTTTATGGCAGCTGCAAGGTTATGTCAGTTTGCCTATAAATGGGGACTTCTATCCCTCTTTCCAGACTCCAGACTTTTAACGACCTAAATTCATCCAGCAGCTATGACTTCTCCTGGAGCCAGGCCTGCTCAGCCTGTCCCACTGGTGACCGGCAGCAGGGTTTCCTCTCTTTCCACTATGGCTAAAATAGGGATGGACAATTATTGTTAGAAATGCAGATTTCCAAGCTCCACTCCCAGACTTTCTGATTCAGTAGGCTTGGGGTGGCTTCCAGGAAATCTCCACATTAATAATCATCTCAGGAGATTCCTGTGGGTTGAGGAATGAAAAGTAAGTCGGCTCTTCCACTTGTCTGCTGAGAATTCCTCTTCACCCCCGGGGTGGCGTCTGCTCCCTATACCATCCGGGTGAGAAGTGGGGAAAGGGAAGGAATCCTGGGTACTTTGCAAGAGTAAGACCATCTCATCTTCCCAATAATCCACAGAGGAGGCATTGTCATTGCCCTCATTTTACAGGTGAGGAAACCGAGGCTCAAAGGGGTGTACAGATGTCATGCAGGCTGTCATTGGCAGAGTCTTAATTTATAACCAGGTGTCTCCAACTACAAGGCCCATTTGTCTTCCTCTGGGAAGGAGAGGATGAGTTATAAAGAGAAGTAAAAGTGATTTGTCCAGTGGTGAAATTCGGGGACTGATGTGGGCCACCCCCACCCCACCCCCCGGGTCCAAGCTACCATTCCAGCAGTAAGGGCAGCTTATGGGACTCCCTTGGAGAGGGAGACTGTGGCGTGTCCCTCTGGTGGGTGTGACCTGGCATTGTCCTCTTAGACACCACTGAGTGAGTAGCTTCTCAGCCCCTTTGGTGGGCTCCTTCCCATCTGATAAAGACTTCATAGCATTTCTCATCGTCTGAAATCTCCTGATAGCTCCAGCTTAAACCCTTTGAGTCAGACAATCTCTCTTTTCATTGGCAACGATGCTCTTGGATGTTGGGTGTGGCCAAACCAGGTCCCTGGAGTGGCCAGGGGAAGGTGGGGAGGACCAGCAGGAGCAGAAGACACAGTCCCAGCCCCGGGGAAGGACTTATGTCCTGATCTGGAAGATGGCGCACACTCCTGAGATATGATCAAAGCACAGTGTATCTCAAAGAAAAAATTAACAAGGTGATGTGTCAACAGGTGCTTATTGACACAGTACAACCAGACTATTGGACAGCCAGGGAGGCTGGAGCAAGAGGCATCAGAGTAGAGGTCAGGGAAGATTCCAGAAAGAAGTGTTTAGGGGGTATAGCTCAGTGGTAGAGCATCTGACTGCAGAAAGAAGTGTTTAGTGTTGAGTATTGGTAAGAGAAGGAGGGGACATAGACTGAGTCACTGAGAGGACAAATATTCCTGAGACGTTCACCATGTACCAGGCCCTGTGCTGGGGTGCAGTGATGCAGGTTAGGGAGACACATGGCCCCTGCACCCGTGGAGACTGCTGATTCTGGAGGAAGAAGATTCTTAGCAACAAGGTGATGGAGCACGGCAGTGCTCACAGGTGAGGGTGTGGGTGGGAGAGGGAACAGGGGTCCCTGCTCCAGGCTAGGACAAGACGGTGGAGAGGGCACCAGATAGGCAGGAACAGGGAAGGCCAAGAAGAGGGAAGCAGCAGTCGGTGAGAAATTCAGGGGGATGGACGCGGGAGCCGTGACAATGCATGAAGACCTCCGGATTGGATCCTGGGGCTGGGTGCAGGCTGCGTGTGAGGGCGGAGGGTCGGACGGCACCGATACGAATCCTGGCTTGGCACTTCCTGCGACCTTCCCTTGTCGGAAGGTGAAAGTAGCACCCGTGGAACAGTGTGCGCAGAGGAGGCTTATTAAAGGAGGCTTCTCGCCGTCTGCCCTCCATTCCAGTCCTCAATGAACACAGCCACCTGGGACTGTTATAAAATGCAGGCTTTATTATTAGTCAGGTATGGTGAGGCCAACATATCAGGAGATGACTGCTATTGCGAAGGTAACTTGTTACTCACAGTTCCTTAGAGGAGTCACCACCCCGTGCCTCACAGGGCCACACAGGGAAGGACCAGGGCCACCAGGAGGCAGGAGGGGAGGGGGAAATGGGAACAAGAGCCTTTACTGTGGTTTTCCTAGGAAGGAATGGGCAGGGCAGTGTAAACAGGCTGAAGAATGGCTAGGTTTGAATAATTTCAGGGGACCCTGGGGCTGTCTTTGTCTCATACCTAGTCCTGGAGTGACTAGGGCAGGGGACCATCGGCCCTGGGGTATAAGAGCTTTGCGAGAGCCTGTAAAGCACGTGGCTGGGGAAAGGCTTGGGGTTGGTTCATTTGCATATGAGAGGAGCACTCTTAGACCAGTTGTTTGCCATCTCTAGGAACTAGGTAGCCCTGGGAGCTCACAGTCCGTGAGCTCAGGGGGCCCACATGCCAGAGCGTCAATAATACAGAAAATAAGAGGATATAGTTACTACAGGGAGTCAGAAGACCAGAAGCGGGAGAATGGGGACTTCGGGGCCTCTAAGAGGTGGCCGGCTCCCCACAGGGCAGTTGGGAGTGAGCTTCGGGCTCTACCCTGAGGTCTGATTCCATTGGCAGGTGAACATGCTGCTCCTGCCAGCTGACTTCAGACTCCATAAATTAACCCCCCCCCCGAATCTGTTTGGAAAAAGTGAAATGAACAAATGAAGACAGGAGAGAAATTAAAAGATAATTGAAAGTCTGTACTGGGCTTCGGTGGATGTGTGTGCACGCTGCCAATCTGGTCCCAGTGCAAGCAGGATGAATTGAGAACTCTTCAGCTGGCTCAGGGGGTGGATGAAACAGTCAGAGACAAATGCGTGCCATGCAAATAAACAGGCCCATCTTCCAGTGATTAGCTTGGAATTCCATCGTGCTGGGGCCTCCTCTGGTCTGCTCAGCCTGAAGAGTCTGCGTGATCCAGGGTGGAGCCTGGCTCCAGGTGGGTGAGGCAGGGGAAGCCCTGAGTGGAGGGCCCAAGGCTGGGAGGAGGTGGGTGCGGGCATCTCGCGAAGTGTGTGTGCAAAGAGGTGGTGGAGATGTCAAAGAGGGAGATGGGGAGGTGTGTGACCTTTTACACACACATATATGCACATGCATATGCGTGCACACATGCATGTATATGAAGGCACATGTATGCACACACACACACACACACACACACACACACACACACACACACACACACACAAGAGAGAGACCATGGACCTTTTGAGTCCACAAGCTTTAGCAATAAATGGCTCCTACCCAATGGGGAGATGAAGTCCAAACTGTCTGTTTAGCTGGGACTAGAACACGGGGCATCGGACTGGGTCTAGGCGTGGAGAAGAAGGTCAAGGATAAATTGCCACTTATTTGAAGGGTACTCACTATTGGTGGTGATGATGGCA